TTTTTTTTCTTCTTTTCGTGAACATTAGATGCAAAAAGTGGCTGTTGAAGGAATTACCGCAGCTTGTTCGAGGAGTTGGGAAAGTCTTGCCATTTCTTTCTTTTCTTCGTCAGCTTTTTTTTCAGCGGCCTTAAAGATTTATTGCCTTCAATACTACTAAAACTAAAACTACTTGTTATTGGATTTTCAAATGAGACCAAAAGTAATCTGGAAAAGGACATCTACCGCACCTGCTCGATGTAATCACTAAACTCTTCTTTGTTGGCGCTAGCGAAAGCAGGCATTCCAGTTTCGGGATCCAAATGTGTCAATACAGCGGGAGGATCGATGCCCTCAAAGCTATGGATGAAGAAGCTTTCTAGCAATCAAATATCAAAACACACTTTTGCAGAGCAGTCTTCTTTGAAACGTGTCATTACCTTCGCTCCTCGTTCTTTGCTAAACAAATGCTTTGATATCCAGTTTTGATTTTGAAACAGTTTGCATTATTGATCAGAAAGAGTCAATAAAGAAAGGAAACCTTATCAAGGGTAGGAGAAATTTGGCCCTTCCTTTAAAACCAGCCATCATCCCCTTTTCTGCATCAGGATCGCCGTTCTTGACTGCTTCTATGTAGTCCTGGAAGTGCACACGATGCTAATAGCATTCAAAAAATTTGGTTCCTCACCTTATAGGTGAAGCCAAACATACCTGCAACATTTTCTTTAACAATGCCATATACATAAGCTCCAGCTTTTCTCTTACAACGTCAATGCAAACCGAAACCATTGAGAGGCCGACGATAACCACTCCAAAGGTTCCCATCATATACTCCGGATGTGCCGGTGTTATGTCGCCAAGACCTCAATTTGCTGAATTCGTGATGTTGGCCAGGTAGGCTGAAACTTTCTGTTGGTGTGGCCTCACCTATAGTGCTACTTGATATGAAAAAAAAATAAATGCTGGTAAAGTAGGTCCAATCCTCCCAGATGCAAAACACAGCGGCGGCAAGTAAAATCCATGCAATCGTTGCTAAAAGAATGATATTATGCAATCTTTGTATTTGATTAAGGGCTTAGAAACGAAGAATGTTGCTTGACCGAAAATTGCTGTAAAGACGGGTGGATCGGATTCTAGTCCCTCTGTGCATTCTTCTAAATCCTCGTCATCATCATTGCTAGTCTAGAATGTGTTTGGTTGGAGTTCAACCTATGCATAGTCGCGATAACTGATTGTAAGCACAGGATAATAACGACTTAACATTTGGAAAATCGATTGAAGAAGCGATCAAATTTCAGAATGCTTCTAATCAGAAAAAAAAGGCAAATAGTTGATAAGTGTATGTTACTTGCTACAATCAAGGATGATTAAAGTAAAGCAATGCTTCGTCTCTCCACCGGAGAAGGCCTCTGGCTTTTTGGTATCTTCTAAACAAGCAACTCAGCAAAAGTCAATGAACCCAAACTTTACTTTGCAATAAAAAGCTTTATATGCTTCTCGGCAAGAAATTGCTACTGTTTACGTGAAGTTGCAGAAGTAATCTGCTCAAGGTTGAGAACTGCTTCCTGCCCTACATAGAAGGAATGTACATACATACGTCGTTCTGAATATCCGCGAATCAAGGTTAGAATTAAGCATAGTTACACACAAACTAAGCGCTTCATCTTGCTACTGCTAAACCTCTCCTTGAAAAGGCTTGCACTCAAGTTCTGACAACTGACACTAAATTCATAGAGTTACAGTAGATGGTAACTGCATTCTCGTATCTATCCTTCGCTGATTTCATGAGTGATGTCGTACAGTACTTTCAAACAAAAGTGTTACTTCTAAGC